CTAAATAAGAAATTCAGGGTACCCTGCCTCGGATACAATAGTTTCTTATCCAACGCCGTCACTGTAAATATATATATATATATATATGTAACATGTATGTAGAAGTTAAGATATAAAGAAGTACCCGGTATGAGGTTGAAAGCCCTAAGCAACACAGCTGGAATAATGAGCCTTGGTTTAGGGCATGAGTTGCAAACCCCCACTGAACCCCAAACCTCAAACATAGCGATAAACGCTGCACCCAGCATAAGCTTGGGCTTAGACCTTAGTTGAGTACCTTGCAGAAACCCGATTAATGGCCCATTTCATTAGCCCCTGAACCCCTCTAAAGCCTTGATAATTGTTATTGGTCTGTCTAAGTGGGAGATGTCGCCCTCCATGTGTGCGGGATACAACTGAGCAAAAAAGGCGCCGCAATGTTGTGAGAGGGGTCCGTGGCATATTCTCGAATAGTAAATTTAGCAATGAGCTCTCAGGAATGATCCCTAAACCCTAAACCCTAATCCCTAAACCCTGAACCCTAAACCCTGTGGCAGTTGCAGTAAGCACAGGCGCCAATGCGATTTAAAGCATCTGGCCCGCTTGCCAAGGCTGAGAGTGCTATAAGTCTAGTGAGCAGCCGGCACGAAGCACACAGAATATCGGCACGGTCGTGGGTCGTGCGTTTCTGGCCTTCGGCTGTGCAGATGAGAGTTCGGGGTTGAAGATGTTCACTTGTCGCCGAGGCTCACCACAAACTGTTCACCTGCCACTGCATTGAGTCGCCGGAAGAAGTCACCATAGCCTGGGCTTTGAAGTGGTAAGGGAGAAACAAGCAGAAGCGTTCATTTCATAGTGGTTCCTTTGAGGAACAGAACCAACAAAAGTATCAAAGTACGGTATTCCAGACCCCAGTAGCCGCCGCCATAAGGGTCAGGTTGCGGCAAGATGCCCAGGCTGTCCGTGAGCTGCCTCAGCCGTGTGGGTTTAGGGTTTAGGTTCGGGGGTTGCCTAGACCCCCCAACTACCGTCTAATA